CAGTGGCGTGGCGTACTTTCTTGAATATCGATTGATCTGCCCTTTAATTGTGTGGAAAGGTATCCGATCGGTAGAAAAGGTGTTCGCAACGAACACCTTAATAATCGATTCTTTACCAAAGCTTCAAAACAGGGGCTTGGAAGACAAGGCGTAGTTTTTTTTAAAAAAAATTGAGGTATTCCTGAATTCAGCTAGAACTAGTTTGAAAGGATATTATGTAAAAAATTCAAACCTAAAATCCAACATTAAAGCATCAAAAAGTGAGTTTTTACTTCCGTTCCACCATCAGGATCCATGTAATTTTGAAACTTTAAACACGAATTTCTTAAAATAGCAAATACTTACTATGCGCCTTGTCCTACAAGCCCCTTAATGGGGAAATATCGATATTCGATCATTCACGTCACTGTTTCAAATGTGTTTCTAAAATACTTAGGTTTATGAAATGAAAATCCGATCGTCATCACGATGTTTTAAATCTGTAATAAAAAAAAAAAAAAGTTTTACCCACGTATACAAGTTGAGTAGAAAATAATTTTGGAAATATTTACAAGAAAGAAAAATATAACAGAACAAAAACAAACTTAAGGCCTTGAAATTAAGTATATACAAAAAATAGTACACCTTTATAAAATATTGGTTACGTGACACCAATTAAGTATCCGTATTGACGACAAGAAGCTTTTTATTTTTTTTTTTAAATAAATAAGACTACAATGAATCCGTTCTACCCGTGGCTGAACAAAGGGTGAGAAGCAATATAAAAGAAAATATATTTTCCATAAACTCTGTTGAATATATATCGTTAAAAAACGCGTTTAGTCATTGAAAGGGAATCATAGTAATGCCCCTGATTAAATGGACAGAAAGAAGTGGATCAGTCTTTGCGTCTTTCGGAATATCTATATAGGTACATGGATTTTAAAGCTGTGTTCTTTCTTTAATATTAAAGCAATGTCCAGAGCTTGCGTGATTTGAGAATGTAATCATCCAGGAATCTATACTAGGGCCCACGAACGATGATCCCTAAAAAATCGGGCGAATAAACGCGTGGGCCATGTGAATGACAACGCTGCAGGGTCGAGCACGCACATCGACGAGACCGGGTATTGTGAACGCGAAAAGCTATTGTATGCGAACTGCTGCTATTCTACCCCTATCTTCAGGTCAAAATTCTTCATAGGAAGCCCTTTCGTAAAAGACCAATTTCTTGTAACTTTGCCCCAATCTCTCCGTCCATTACATGGTTGGATTGCTCGTAAAATTCTGAGCTAAATCATATATAATTGTTATATACAATTTTTATTATTTCCTTCTTTTTCCTTTTTGAAGCGAAGTCCAAGTTTTATTTATAACGTCGTATCTCGAACTGTAAATTTGCTGCTATTTGACCGATTTTTATAAACGAGGCCTCTTTTTACTCGTGTTTTAAAGGAGAGTAACGAAACACTTGCTAAAAAAATGTTACACAACTTTCAACAAATTTTGGTTTTTTCTAGCGGGAGGGTGAAATTGTAAATTACGCGTAAGTAATTAGGGTTCGATTGTGGCTCGGCTCGGCATTGTCCCCGAACTCGAGACTCGGTTCGGGCCGGGGTGTCGCTGTTGCCAGTGTTTGCAAGAAATACCCGCGGCTCAGGGATCATCGTTCGTGGGCCCTAGTATAGTATAGTGATTTGTTATAACGTTAATCACAAGCCCAATTACATCTACTAGACGGATGGAAAAAATCAAGAGTCACTAGCAGTTGTAAGCTGCCCTATGTATGATACAAGGCGATCAAAACATATCGATTCAATTCTATATTAAGTATGTCGAGTGGTGGTGCCATTTCTCATCATCTCCAGCCATACTTACTAAATCAGTCTAGCACGTTGCTATTCTACCGTGCTAAAGAAAAACGATGTAATGGGCATTCATATATTGCCCAATTCTTTGGATAAAATATTATTTTGGAGAAAATTCATGAATGGTCTGAAAGTTTTCGATTTCCTGGGGAAAGTCGATATGCAAAGTCTATGACATGTTTCGTCGTTTCCCGAGCGAAGAAACGTAACTCCATCTCAATATTGCAAAGTTGACTCAAAAAATTCAATTTTTTACAAAAACGCAACCGCCGTGCAATTTTTGTCAAATTTTTTTATTCTCACGTGAGATTAGACGAAAAGTCAGTGAGATTTTCAGCTGTCACTGCCCAATATTTTTCTCATAAAAATGCAATTTGCGAAGGGTATTCTGCAACATTGAAATGCAGTTGCGTTCTACCGGGAAGAGAACTACGATTAATTGGGGGAAAATATTTCCAGATAACCTTATTTTATCAGCAAAAATTTGACAACGTCTGGATGCTCATACGTCGTTTATTACCTTCGTGCAGTAATATTGCTTTGGGTGCTTTTAAGTAATTATAGCTCCTCTGACGTTAGGGGGTACCTATCTCAATTGCCACTCGAGCTCTGCTCTCCGTGTAACTCAAAGCTTTCCGGGGCTCATGCGGAAATTAATAGAGGGAAGCGCTTCGCGATCTGTCGATTGAACTGCCGTATAAACTTCTAGAAAATGATCGATTAACCAACTGTTTGCAACAATCGATTGCTTAATAATCGATTCTTTACCACAGTCTTAAATGAGGAGATATCAATAATCGATCATTCACATACCTTGCTACTGGTGGAAATAGAGGTGTCCCATCACGTCAGAGAGGAATCTCGTAGTGATCTCTTATCTCATGCTGAGAATGATTAGGGAAGGACAGTGACAAGGCGTAAATGATCGATTGCCAATACTTTTTCCATTTGAAGATATATGACAAAGAATCGATCGTTTAGGTTTTCGTTGCGAACACTCACTGCTTATCGATCTTTTTCCATAGATTTGAAAGGCAGATAAATCGATAGGTCACAAAGCACGCCACGCCTCTGGTGAAGGAACGCATTCAGTCTGAGTCCTTTGAACCTTAATAGGTTTTATTAGCGGCACAGATATACTTAGAAATCTCTTGAGTCCTCCCGAACGCAAGACAATCAAATTAGCATGCGACATTTGAGGGGAAACATATTGAATGACGCACTCCAAGAGACGTGGTAGAAAACGTTGATCTGTTCTCTTTTCTTGAGGTAAGTAAACGTGCTGTTGATCTGATTTAGTGGCTGGGAATTTAAGCGATTTGATTCTGTGTGATCGGATAAAGAAAAAAGGACCTTGGACGCAAAAAATCAAACTTAATTATTTGATATGAAGCCCTAAAGGTGCGCTTTGTGGTCATTTTGAAGGTAGCAAACGCCCAAAAACGCTGGGCCAAATCAGAAATATGATGGTTTGAAATATGTAGGAAGGTATAAAGTTTGTCTAAAGTTAGAGTCTGCCAACTGAATGAAATTTTAGTATTTTATACCTCATATCCACGCATTAATAAATTTACATTTCGATGGTGTAAGTCGGCAATCACATAACTCGGTTTGCGACGTCGCAGACTTCCTATCACCCAAGTAGCATTTTTCAACGGAAAAATCGCGATTTTATCGCCGATAAAGTCGCGATTATCCTCGATTTTATCGGCGATAAAATCGCTAGGATCATCAACATTTGAGCGATTATCCTCGATCTTTTCGCGATTTTATTGCGATTTTATCGGCCCGAAAAAATTGCGATTTTATCGCGATAAGATCGAGGATGATCGCTCAGATGTTGATGATCCTAGCGATTGATAAAATCGCCAAAAAAAAGGGGTGAAAGTTGTCAGCCGATTGCCGTCAGGTTCAGCCGTCAGGTCCTTTGACGAAGACGAGCGTAAAATCCCCGGAGCCTCCGCGGGGATTCGAACCCCAATCGCTACGGTGGAAGGCCAGCACATTGTCACTACGCTATGACCGCTATATGACTTGCTTGTGCGAATTGAAGCCTCTTATACATGGATCGGCGCTTCGCAACCTCACAACTTATGTCTTTGCGTTGACTGACACCGATTTTTCATTGGATTTTTTTTTTTTTAATTTTCCCTCCTCTGTATTTTATTTCATACCTTGAAATACGGTTGGTAAAATAAGGTTCTATTGGTAATCTCATCATTCTGTCTCTGTAAAATTACCAATAATAGTGAGATGGCAAAGTTACCGATGGACCTTGGGAAAAACGCCAATAGTTTTTATCGACTGTGGTAGAATTACCGAGATAAAATGGTAAAGTTACCGGGGATTGATTACCAATAAAAGTGGTATTCTTACCTGAAAAAATCAGTAAAAATACCGGTTTTCAGGTAAGCTTACCAGTCTGTCTTTGTAACATTATACTAATAATTGATAAAAAAAAATGAGATGGTTAAGTTACCAACGGATCTCGGTAAAAACGGCGGCGGCGGAATAGAAACATCTTTCATATATGCGTCATTCATGCGTTAATGAAAAATTGCAATTTATTGCAATTTTATCTCTATAAAATCGCGTTCGATAATATCGCGATTTTGTTGCAATTTATCGCGATTTTTCTCCCGATAATATTGCAATAAATCGCGACGTCGATAAAATCGCGATACATTCTCCAATTAAATCGCAATTTATCGCGATCACTGCTACTTGGGCATACTTTACTAAAAAGAGATAAATATACTTTACTAACCACCAACTGCCGTGATTTTTCTTCTGTGAGCGAAGAAAATTCTGCAAAAACTTCGAGGAATGATATCAATTCGTTTGCCTTTAACAAATTAACATACCTAGACGCGGAGATTTTCAGACACCGCAAACTAGTTATGTGATTGCCGACTTACACCGTCGATTTGCAACTTTTCATAAGAAACTATGAAGGGCGAATTCCCTCAAAAATTTAAAATCCGATTTTTTTCGACGATTTGAGAAAAATCGCTCTCCTGGTCGCTCCTTTGCGTGGACGGTTGCACTTAGTCATATGACTGAAGTACAAAACCGCGTATATTTACTAGAATGTTCCAAAATTTCCGCTCCTTCTTAATTTGTTCGCAATAAAACAGGCCTTAAAATATTTACCGAATATTTTGCCAGCAGAGACGAATAATCAAGAAAGTTGTGGGTTTTTTGTTGACTATTTGTTGAAAGAAAAAATGTAGCCTGCAACGTCAAAAACGGAGAAAGGTATGCGGTCTCGCATTTTGGCTTTGGATTTTGAGTCCAAACGGCACGTGTATACTCCGGTTTTCCTGTTTCCTTCTGATCATGAGAAGAAGGTACGTTCAAAGCATGCAAGGTTTGTGAGAGCAAAAGTTTTACTTGTTTCTTTCCTACAATTACTGTACACTGCACTTGCAATCCTCTCCTTCTTTACTCTCAAAGGCCACCCATAAGAACTGTCTTTTTCGACTGTGCGAAAAATTTCAGCATGAAAGACAACTTAAACGTGAATTGACTGATGTTAAACTTTTTTAAGGGCAAATAGGAGCCGCATCCGAGTGGATATCCGTATCTTGTTTTTGAGAAATTAAAAGAAGAAAGGACCATAAGGAAAATTAATATTTTTCCTCTCTCTCTTTTTTTCTCAGACTTATGTCAACGTAAACTTCTACCGTTACTGTATTCTGGAAACGCGACAGTTGCTGGAAGGGGCACGACCGATTGAACCACGTCTGTATTGTAAGATGGATGTGGCAGATCGGCTTGTCCACGGCTCATGGTCACATTGAAAAACCTGAAAAAAAGATACAGATTTATTTTAAAAATCAAACACATGAGCTAATTTGATAGGAAATACTGAAATGTTCAAAAACATTTTTTCGATTTAAAATATAGCTCTTTGATTTATTCCCTAAAAAATAAATTTTTGGTCGTATGTACTTACTGAACATTTGGTGTCCCATATCACTCCATGGCTTCAATTTTTGAAACAAAAACTCTCAATCCCAGTAATCAAACTTCGAACTTCGTAATGATCATTGTTTCCGTAAAACAATAATAAATACTCACTAGGTGTGAACAGTAAGATATGTATTGGATAACTGAGCTGGCCTGATAAAAATGTTCCATGCGAAATTTACATGGAAATCAGCCGCATGGAAAATTGGGATGGAAAAGTTTCCATGCGCATATGGCATGGAAACCAACTTCATGGAAATCAGCCGCATGGAAAATGTAAAGCAAGGTGGTTAGGGAAAAAGAGGCACCCCAAAGGATTATTTAAGAAAATAATTTTCGAAATCGTGAAAAATAAAATCAATTGAACTATTGAGAGTCCATGTTAGCGTTGTCGTAGGTTCGGATTTTTTTACCTGCATCGGAGATTGAACCTGGGACCTACCCAACACTAGCCGAAGATCCCACCGATTGATCTTTACCGAGCGATGAGAATAAGAGCCGAAAAACCGGGATTTAACATCGATTAGAACAGAAAACTACAATATTCAAAATACAGGTACATTTTTTCGTTCTTAAAAATGTATTTTATTTTTACTTCATTTTATTTTTAACTTTACTTTAGTTGTTTACTTTATTTTATTTTTTAATTCTTTGTTTTAACTTTATTTTATAACTTTATTTTCTTTGACTTTCTATCTCTTTACTTTATTTTTTTAAAATTTGTTTTACTTAAATTTATTTTTTTCTTTATATGATCATTTCTTCACTTACTCTTATTTTCTGTAAATTTATTTTGTTTAATTTATTTTAAGGTTTTACTTATTTTTTATGAATTTAAAATATTTTTCTTTAGTCACTTTTTTATAATTTAATTAAATATTATTTTCCTTTATTCACTTTTTGCTGCATTTATGCACGCCCAGTTGTCACATCGATCACAAAAGAATGGAATGTCAACGATTTTTTTGGGGGCTGCTAATGCAACCCGCAACAATCGTCCGTGAATTCTTTAAAACATAACGTTTGACTCATCTTTTTATTCCTCCATCCTTTTTTGGCGCGTATACGTAGTATATTGCCTTTGCGATCGTTTCGACCCCCCACTCGATACAATAACCGAGTCCCTTAGTTCCTTACCGGAAAGTGACTACCGCGAACTTCTGAGATTTCCCAAAGCGTGTAAAAAGTTTACTAATCCGTCAATAATTAGGATTTAGAGTTGTTTCTCATTCTGAGGCTTTCTAGTTTATGTGTAATGAATACCAAGACTCCACGTTACTTGGTTTTTTTAAAAAAAACCTAAGAATGCTCAGCGCTAATTTAAAATCATTAATATAAACTTCGAAGGATTCTGCCTTTTTCTATTTCACTCGAGGGGAAGTGTCCCCTCCCGGACTCTCTTCCCCACCCGGTGACTGACGCTGCGCTGTGCTGAGCGGTTCAGCCTGAACCTTTCCCCTACGTCTGATCGTTCCCCACTCCTCTGTCAATCGAACCATATGCCACCGCTTACGTATTGTCGCTCGCCCACCAAGGTACCTAGCGGCCAGCGGTCAGTTGATGATAAATCTCGCTCATGCTCCTATGCAGCTACGCATTGATTACGCCAGCTAATTACTTTCTAATAATTAGAATTTCTTCGATAATAGTTTTCTTTATTTATTCGACTGTATTTTTTTCTCTGCTCTACTGTGATCTCCTTGGTTCTCTACTGTGTTTTTCCTAAATATCTGAGTCAGAAATCTGAAGCACTTCGGTATGCACCGAGTACTTCAGATGTGTGACCTGAAATCTTCGGTATATACCGAACTACTTCAATTGTCTGACCCGAACTTCGGCAGATGGACCTTAACTTTTCGGATGCGTGATCCGAAAACTTCAGAGATCCATATGATCTCAGCTTCGGGTTTCATGCACAAATTGTTTTCTCCGTGTTTCCTTTTAGGGGACGCAACTAAAATTTCAGTAAATTTTTTTCAGAAAAGTAAAGAAAAAAAAAAAAAAAAAAAAAAAAAAAAAAGTGGCTAACGATGGTTCCTCACCTTCACGTGATGTTGGCTGTTTTTACTAAGTGGGAACCGTCCATTTTAAGATATAGTCTATTTCTTGCCCTGCCATTATTATTCTACAAGTTAATCGTGGAGTGAGAATTTCATAATGTTTTCTATGATATCTTCAAAATATAGTGATAAAAAATTTGCAACTACTACAAAATCGGCTCGCGAAGCAGGCCGAATGTCACTCGCATAGCGAGTGACCGGGGGTCCAGGGGGCATAGCC